GTTGTTCGAGCTTATTATTTATTATGGTATGAAGTGGTAAATAAGCTCTATGAATAATATTGCTATTCCTAAATTGTTGTCATGTCTTTTTCTGTCTTAAATATACTATTTCGTTTTTGTTTTTGTGAGAATAATTGAGGCTGGTGGATAGTTAAGTTAACAATTGATATACTTTTAATTCAGGTTAATATTGTGTTTATCTTTGTGACTACGATTTTAGCAGGACTAAAATTATGCCGTAAACGAAAAATTGCATTATGCCTTGTTGATGCAGCTCTCGTACTTGCTTACATTTTTTATCCGCACCCACAACGGGATTCGAAATGTGGGCATTCCAATCAAGCGGCAAACATGTTACCTCCAACAACACGTCATAAAGCACGAGCAATATGACTCTCGATGTAAACAAAGTAAATTACCTTTTGATAATTGGTGCAGTCGATTGCTACAGAAAATACAACTTTGCCTCACAGATAATCCCACCACACAATGTGATATGGAAAAGTGCCGGGCTTTCCTTGAAATTCCCATATGCCCTGTGCTCCAAGGGGACTCGTGGCATTGTGGCGTAGTGGTCAACGTGACGAGATTATACGCTGTCCTACCACGAACCAGGTCCGAGTCCCGGTAGGGGTGCCGATGAGACCAGATCAGACGAGGTCGACACTGCAGTCCAACCCTTCGGAGACAGGAATACATTTTGGGACATGTCAGGTTTAATCATATGATTATGGGAAAATTAGACTACCAGTCCTTTTTATCACCTTAAACGAAATAGGGCGAATACATCTCATATATATACACACACACACATATATATATATATATATGTTGGTTGGAATCGAGCCTCTGAGAAGGGCCGGCTGATGATGTCTAGATTGCCCTGGCTTGACTCACCATCACCCCGCCTTTGAACCAAACCCCTGTCAAGGCGACCAAGTGCGAAGTGGGATATAGGCAGAAGCAACTGTATACCAGACGGGTCGTCAGCCCCGGCCATGACGAAGAGTACATGACGAAGTAGAAGCTGGAAGTGCCCAGTTTGACAGGACGACGTCACAGGGACGGCAGACAGTGGACGAGTTAATGGACCAACGAAAGGGTTGAAGAGAGGATAGGGGATAGAGCGGGAGAGGGAGAGAGAGAGAGAGAAAGAAAGAAAGAAACGGACGTAAGCCTCCTGTAGACCGGCTGAGTCGGACAGAGAAGGTTTGTCGACATCGTCAAGGTGAGACGTTAATCCGGCGATGGAATCCAGATTCGTTTGTTTACATTGAGGCGGGCTTCTTGTGTTTGCGGAACCAAAGACACACCCCTCGGACCGACCCTAGCATGCATCGCAGGAGCCAGACTTCGAGTCCGGGC